TGATGAAGTCAAGTAGCTTCGAAAGAGATGAGTTTTCAGCTGTCGCTTGAAAATTGTCAGGGATTCAGCATTCCGGATAGGGGTGGGAAGATCGTTCCACCAGCCAGGAGTGGTGAACGAGAATGTTCTGGAAAGTGATTTTGAGCCTCTCTGTGATGGCACCACGAGGCGTCGCTCACTAGCGGATCTCAGACTTCTGAAGGGGATGTAAATTCGTAGTAGTGAGTGGAAGTAGGCGGGTGCTGAGCCTGTGGCTGTCCAAATGAAGTGCTTAGCAATGCATATTACTAATCAATAATTAAGTTTTGATATATTTACGGTAGGAAATTCACACATGATCTTTACTTAACATCCTACTGATTTTTGGCATAAAAGAAAAATCGATAATTTTGACCCATACAATGTATTGTTGGCTATTGCTACAAATATACCCCAGCGACTTAAGACTGCTTTTGTGCTCCAGGGTCACATATGATCTATGTTGTAGCTGAAACTCACTGTTAGGACCAAGCTCTAGTAAATGATCACCTGGTGGCCACCTGGTGACTGTACAGACGATCTCCTTCATTGGAAAAGAGCCTGGCCAGACCGAAGTCAGTGATCTTCAGCTGACCCGTCGAGCTGATTAGAAGGTTTGCAGGCTTCAGATCCTACACACAAACACATGTGAAGCACATATATAGGACAGATCACAGTGAAGGACAAATGTAATGGCATCAGGAACACAGTCTCACCCGGTGCATGATGGAGTTCTCGTGGCAGAAAGCCACTCCTTTCAGAAGCATCATCATGTAACCTTTGACCTGGGATGCAGTGAGAGGACGCTGGGAATTCTGAATGACTTCTGACAGATCTGACAACATGTCCTCAAACACCAGCACAAAGCCTGTGCCGTGGGGGAAGACGTCCTTCAGCTTCACCACCTATGGAGATGATCAAAATATGAATAAAATAATGAAACTATAAATCAAATAGTAAATCAAAATGGCATAAAAAGTCACAATTATGACAAAGTTTAAATTATGACATAAAAAGTCATAACTGTGACAAAACATTTGACTTTTTGTTATTGTTATGACTTTTTATCATTTCAACCTTGTTATAGTTTGACTTTCATCTTATAAATATGACTTTCTGTCATTATGACATAGTATGTCACAATTTCAACTTTTCATCATTTCACCTTAGTATGCTGTATTTTTTAATCTCATAAATCATAACTTTTTTTCTCATAATTTACTGTCGTGATGATTTAGTATGTCATCATTTTGACTTTTCATCTTGTACATATTACTTTTTTAATGTCATAATTATGCCATGGTATGTCATAGTTAAGACCGATAATTATTATGTTGTAATATTGACTTTCATCTCATAAAATATCATATAATAAACAATAAAATGTAATCTCATAAATAAACCCCTTCACCTCATAAATGACTGACATGACTTAGTATGTCATAATTTTAACTTTTCATACCATAAATATGACTCATAATTTCAATGTTTTATAATGTTAACTTTTTATCTCAACATAGACTTTTATTTCATAAATAACAATAATAATTTTGCCATCATAATCATAACTTTCATTTTATAAATCATAACTTTCATCTCATAAATGACTTAGTATGTCAATTTCAACATTTCATCTTATAATTATGACTTATTATGTCACAATTATGACTTCATATCTCACAATTGACATAATTGAGGCTTTTTATGAAATAATTTTGACTTTGATCTCATAATCATAATGATAATTTTGACTTTTTATCCCTAAGCTCTAAACCTTTTGTCATAATTTTGACTTTCATGTCACATTTGTGCCAGAATTATGACTTAGTTTACCATAATTTTCATTCCATCTCCAAAGTATGACTTAGTATGTCAGAATTTCCAAAAGCATGTTTATTATGTGAAGCAAATGGGCTTCCCTATTCATAGAATGCGAGTTGCACAGATATAGAGTTAGTTCAAGTTCTAAGCAAAAGAGATGATCTTGATGTAATCTTCAGTGGTCAGTATCTCTCACACACTGCTTGTCCTCAGTCTCGTGCAGGGCTTTGATTTCTCGCAGGGCCTGGTTTGGAGTTCCATCTTCAAGTCTTCGCAGAGCTACTTTTTTCAACGCCACCGTCTCTCTGTCTGAAAATACAGATAACGCAGTGTTCAGCTTTTATAAGTAAGCTATTGTCATTTACACAGGATTAATATAGATAACCGAAACCAGTCCAGTCGTACCTCGATGTGTTTGGCTTTGAAAATAGAATAAAATATTAAAATAAAACGAGGAAAACAATTGCTAGCAGGACGATCGTTTCGAAGTGATTGTCTGTGGTAAGCATCCGAGGATGCTCCGCTGAGGCGAATAGCAGTTGCCATGGAGATCGCTTCTGTACGGCAAGCGAACGAAGACAAAATTATTTTTTAAACGACCACGTATTGATTTACTCTGGTCAACCACATTAATAAAAACGGACAATATTACAATATAAACAATATTTTTCTAAAAAAAACGGAAATATTATTTCCAACCATTTCAAGTTATGTATTATTGGTATAATTTGTTTAGTTTTTTCAACGCTCTGGTATGAAAAAAAAGGGATATGTCAGTTGGCACCTGTTATTTTTCTCAGCGCTGGTCTGGACGAACCAATCGTAATCGATTGCGCTTACTGTATACACACACACACACACACACACACACACACACATATATACAGTATATACACACACACACACACACACACACACATATATACAGTATATACACACACACACACCCATATATACAGTATATACACACACCCATATATACAGTATATACACACACACACATATATACAGAATATACACACACACACACACACATATATATATATATATACACACACACACACATATATATATATATATACACACACACACACATATATATATATATATACACACACACACACATATATATATATATATACACACACACACACATATATATATATATATACACACACACACACATATATATATATATATACACACACACACACATATATATATATATATACACACACACACACATATATATATATATATACACACACACACACATATATATATATATATACACACACACACACATATATATATATATATACACACACACACACATATATATATATATATACACACACACACACATATATATATATATATACACACACACACACATATATATATATATATACACACACACACACATATATATATATATATACACACACACACACATATATATATATATATACACACACACACACATATATATATATATATACACACACACACACATATATATATATATATACACACACACACACATATATATATATATATACACACACACACACATATATATATATATATACACACACACACACATATATATACACACACACACACATACATATATATATATATATATATAATGATTCTGAAGCGAAGAAATGCCCCTAGGTTTATGGGCAGTGTTTTTTTTATATGCATATACGTTCATGCATTTTCATACATATATAGAGTTGACCAATTTCTAAATCCATACGGTACACTTGTGAGCCAAATAACCTTTGTTAATGACAGTATAATTTTACAGACATTTGAGGGAAAAATATAGTATTTTCACTTTAATTACTATACTGGAAGAGAATATCGAGGTTAAATTAAATCCCAAAGCCATTTCTCTTCTTTTTCCTGATACAAATAATCTTTAATCTCTTGCTGGTCATCTATATTTCTTGTACATTACATTTCTCAGAAGACAAGACCATCAGCAACACAACAAAGCAACAAAAACGCAGGCAAAACAAGACAAATGAACACCGAGACAGAATTCCATTACTTTTATGTCAAGACACAAAAAGCAATCAATAGATGACAACATGTAAAAACATTTTGTTACAGATAATTATATAAAAAAGGCAAAGAGTTTTTTTGTTTTATGTCTTGCTACGTGAAAGAACTAATTTACAATGGAGTTCAAACTCTGGCTAAGCCAACAATCCATCTGCAACATTTCCCAACCACTAGAAACAGGAACAAACCGTTTCCAACTTCCATTCAAAAAAGATATTCCAATCAAAACCTCTCCTTACTTTCCACCAATTTAGCATTTACACAGGCCTGCATCCATAAGTCCAAAGAGTCCAAAGCAGAGAATGAAAATGGTTCAAACTTTTGCCGCACAGCTTGAGAAGAATCCCAATTTATAACAAGTATAAAAAGAAACTTGAGATTCAGAAAAGTAAATGTACAGGAACTACAGACTAATGACAAGAGGGAAATAAAAATAAAAGAATATTTTTCTGCAGTAGGCTTCTATAAATGCCAGAAAGTAAAAAGTTGGGTGGAGAAAGTCTCAAAAGTGGGTCATTGTTTAGAACAAATACATACAATTTACACTACAGTTCCCAAAATAAAGGTGAAATCATTCATGAACACGGGAAACACTGTGGCCCGCATGTCAAATCCACAAGCATGGAGACTACAGGGATGAGCAGTTAACATGTTGAGGAGAGGTGTGAGGTTTAAAACTGCGCCCTGAAGCACAAATACATGAGAAGGAAAGACCTTTTCTTATTTAAAAAAAAAAAAAAATGTACAAAAATAAACCACACACAAAGAACTCCTGTATCACCATTTACTATTTTGGGGATTTTCTCTCTCTTTATACAAGATCTAGCTGATGCAATGCACAAGTAGTATGCTTTTCATCTACATGGATCGAAGTCCTTTTAGTCTTCAGCTTTGCAGTCCTCAATTGACCCACAGCAAATGTATGAACACAGTGATGCAAAACAGGCTACTGAACTCGGAAGTGAATTAATAATTACAGATTCTCAGAACGAACCGAGTCTTTTCCCTCACAAGCATCACCAAGTGCTGTCCGTTTTCATTTGATTTCGCCGTCCGCACTCCCTCCTCAGTAGCTCCGTCTCCTTTCAGCACGCGGTTGAAATATACAGACTTGCCCAAATAATGGAAACATCAACAAACTGACAAGAAGAGCAAAGTGATTTTTCTGTTATCTATTGCTTGTATTGAAATGAGCTTAAAAATAAATGAATATCAAGGGAGGAAAACAAAGAGTGAGTATCTTATAATACAGTCATAACTAGAATGAACGCTGCTGTCGGAATCTCTTTACACAAAATTGTCAGGAAAAGCAAATGTATGTGCTTTGGAGGAGGTACATTTATGTTTTTTTTTTTTTTAAATACTGTTGGAAATTAGGCATCCATGGCACCAACATGTCCAGTGATGGGAGCGGATTTCTCAAAAACGGAAACGGAAAGGTTTTCCTTTTTTTTTAAAAAAAAAACGTTTTCCTATTTTTGGCTGCAGTTTCCTTCCGGTTCATTGCAGAGGATGGAATGGGGTGAGAAGTGGAAGCAAGAGGTGGAGTTCAGTCATGGTTCAGCTCATAAACAGGGTGGGGTTAAGGGTCACGGTGAGCTCTCACTGGTCAGGTCTGGCCTTCTTTGGACCAGCGCCTTTCCTGAACGGGTAAAGCAACATATTAGGTTGGGTATACAGATTGGTACTGTTCATTTTGAAAGGTATAATGGCCACAAACTCACATATCAGGTGACGAGACCGGCCTCTTTGCTGCAGGTTTGGCCGCAGAGCCATCTTTACTGGTTTCTGCAAACATATTTGAATAAAATTAATAAAACAAAACCCATTCCAGCTTAAAGATCTTTAAATACACCCTTTTCACATTTCCAGGGTTCTCAGAAGTCATTGTCATAGTTGGGTAAACTTAATGAATAGAAGCAACAAATATATTTTTTGCTTCACATTTGTTTCAATAGCAAAAATCCACAGCAGCATTAGTATTAGTATAGTGTTATGGTTGTTTTTAAATGTATTGCCATATCAGCTTTATAGGCTATTACATGGCATACAAATTCAACAATTCAAAATTTTTTAAATAATCATTTAAATTTAAAAACTTATATAAAAAATATAATATAAAATACAATACAATAAATTATAATAAGATAAAATGGTTTGATAGTGTGTGACAGTGGTGATACAACTAATATATATATATATATATATAAAAAAATAAAAATAAACTTTACAAAAATAACTACATTTTGTATACACAACTCTTTTATAAAATATTTTTAAATGTACCTGTAATGAAAAGCTTTTCATCTAGTCCTTCAAAGTTTGCCCTGATAAAAATCATTCTCTCGCAAAATTAAAATTGGGCTGACCTAAATCTTTAAAGGGGTGGTCGACTGGTTTTTTTATAGGCTTGATTGTGTTTATGGGGGGCAGTCTAACATGTGTTAATGCTTAGTTTGTTAAAAAACGCTTTATTTTTCACATAATTTACCTTTATTCCACACCTCTCTGTCCCTTCTCCTCTGAACGCGCTGATCATTTCCTGTTTTTAAGAAGCCCCTCCCTCAGAAATACACGATGGGCTCTGATTGATTAGCTGGCCCAGTGTGTTGTGATTGGCTAAACCGCCTCTAGCGTGCGTCTAAACATCCCGCCCCTCAGCATGGCGGCATGTGCTTCGGTTGTATTGTAAACAATGACGTCGTCTAATTGCTTATCAATTTGAGCCCGATTGATATTATTGAAGAGGATCGCGCAGAACCTGTGCAAGCATGGCTTTTAATGGTAGGCCTAAGATTTTTGTTTGTTGTTGTCTCATACTTTTAGATATGCTGTTATTTGGAAATGCTACTGCTTCTGTTAGCTTTTAATATACGGTTTTATTCTGATTAAAGCTTTAATACAGTTCGGCAACCGCACGCGCGTCCATGTATAACACTTCTCATAACTACAGTATGTGAAAATAAGTGTATTCACTGAGCTGATGATCTGAATGAGAGAGAGAGAGAGAGAGAGAGAGAGA